TATATAGGGATGTTATTCTACATCCTTTGCCATTCCTACACCCTATACAACCCTCATCTCAACCATTCAATTTTTAATCAATTAATTGTTTCATAATATAAAGTATTAATCATAATTAATAAAYTMTATTCATATTCCATAAATATTCAAATCATAATAAATGAACTCCAATCATTTCTATAAATATTTCAATTAATTGGGTTGCAAAGGTTGTACAAATGTACAAGGTTGTAAAAGAAATATACCCTATATATATATATATATATATATATATATATATATATATATATGTATGTATGGTAACCCCACCCAGCTAATTATACCTAATATTCTTGAAATTAGACCAACCAAGTTGCTGATTGTATATTGTTTATTATCTCTTCTCCAACATTAGGGAGAGTTGTCCTCATATTTTGTCTGCCACTATATCACCACTAGATTCCTCTAATTATAAGTCTTACACCCTGTTCATAGACACACACATTTGGAGGGAAAGGTTGGATTTAGTAGCGGTAAATATTTGAGAAGTAAAAAAAGTGATTTTAGTTTTTTTATCTGGTTGATGTTTGTGGTTTTGACTGTGAAGTATTGAATAATTTTTTGTATGGGTATGTGGAAGATGAATGAGTGGTTTTCTAACTTTTACAAATAGATGACAAACATGTTTATATGTGAATGAGTTAATTAGTTCATATATGAATCAGCTAATTAGTTCATATGTGAATCACACGTGTTCACATATGAACATATCACATAGGTTCACATAGGGTTGGGTTCACGTGAGACCAACCTGTTTTCGTGAGACAATATTTTTACACTTCAAACTTCACAACAAAATATTGTGAAAGTAAAAAAAAAGTCCTACATTCACAACAAAAACACCGTGAAGGTTACCTTCACAGTGTTTTGCTGTGAAGTTTCAAATGTAAAAATGTTCTCTCACGTGTCCCATAAAAACAATTTTGTCTCACATGATCTCTTCTTACTATTCTTTCCATAAGTTTCATTTCACAGTGTTTTTGCTGTGAATGTTCAAGTGAAAATGTTGTCCCACGTGTCCCATAAAAACAGTCTTGTCTCTCATGATCCCTTCTTACTATTCTCTCCATAAGTTTCAATGGGAGAGAATGGTAGAACTTGATTCAAGTTTGAGTTCGAGGCTGGTTCGAGTTGAAGTTGGAGTTTGAGCTTGGTTCGAGCTTCAAATGAATTCGAGCTCGAGTTCAAGTTTAAAAAATTGTAATCGAGTTCGAGTCGAATTTAGTTTTTAACTACTAATGAGTTTCTGGGTCGAGTTTGATTAATTACCATCGAGTTCAAATCGAGTATATTAATGCTCAAGCTTGACTCGCATTAATTGCTCACATTAATTACACCTTTACTAACCATAATTTGTAATAGACATTATATAGTACAAGAATAGTGAAACATGTGTAAAATGTTTCTTTTAATTTGTTTTTATTTTTACAAAATTTATCAAAATAAATCTAACATAAGGTTTTTGGTGTTTTTGCAATAATGATTATTAAAAACTCAAAATAATTAACTAAAACAAAATTATTATAAATTATTTACATTTTATTTTCCAAACTTTGTTTTGTTTATGTAACTTCATACATGTTTTTCAAAAGTTAAGTATTTTAACCACAAGGGTGGTATCTGATTGGTTTGAGCTTGACTTCAAAGGTCAAAAGTACCATGAGGTCTCAGGTTCAATCCAAGGAGGAAAAAGAATCGCCTTGTGGCCGTGGAGGTTCAAATGCAGTGACTCCGGGCTATCTGCAAAGTAGGTGGACGCCCTGGGATTAGTCGGTTCGCATAACGGGTTGGATATCCAGGTTGATAAAAAAAGTTAATCTAAAATCACTATCAAATTTGTTCAAAATCTTTAAAACTATTTATTGTAAACGTCATATCATAACCACCAGATTACAGGATATCAAATGCTCCACGTGTACGAGTTTATATAGACTTAAGATTATGGGATATTTGTTTTCCGTAACAACCTTTTTCGAGCCCGTAGATGTTTTTTTCCATTGAAAGATGCTACTGGATGCGGTGGCATGACGGTAATTAAGTGGAACTTCGACGGTAAGAATGTTTACTATATCTCACATATCTTAACATGAAAGACATTAAACCTTAATCTTCACAAATGTTAGCATACTTTAACGTATATATCTTAACATAAAAAAAGCACCAAACCTTAGTAAATGACTTTTTGAAATCATTAACATGCATTCACAAATCGAAGCAGAAGACCGAAAGTGTCAAATTTTTTGAAGTATATAATATTAATATACGGTAAATAAAACAAATAAACTCACACACCCTCTTCACCTTTGGTGAGATTTAAACCCTTGACCTCTTAGGAGATCAATGACTCACATACCGCTAGACCAAAAGCTCTTTGGTGAAAGTGTTGATCTTTACAAGGGAAAAATCATGCATGGTTCTCTATTGGATCAAAAGTGATCAAAATGCGAAACACGATTTGAACGACCAAATCACATATGATTTTACTGAAATTATATACAATTACAAAAAAAAACTGTCTACGCAAGGGTATGCAAGCGATTTGGCACGCAACCTTAACCTAGGTTATGGCCAAGATTACACATAATCACATATGATTTTACTGGTGACTTTATTAAAAAATTACATATGTTTTTACATTCTATTATTTGGGTACTGAAATCCTGTGATATAGAAGTGTTCATGAGTTAGGTTAATCGGGTTGAAGACATTTGAACAATCCAACCCAATGCTTGCAATTTGAAAAATCTTAACCCAACCCAACCCAAACCGTACGGGTTGGTCGGGTTAGTCGAGTTGATATTTTGGTACATTAAAATATTCTTCTAACCTTGAATATGTTATTTCTTTACTCATAATTTTTTTTCCATCAAATCAACCGGTTGATACAACGTACTTATCCATACTTATTACGTATATCACATTCAGTTAATTTTCTCAATTTACATATATATGTTCACAGTTACTGAACATATATACGAATGAGTTATATATATATATATATATATATATATGAATAGATTGAAAATATTTGTATATGAAGAGCATACGTGATAGTGTAGTTGTCTAATGTATATATTATTAAAAATTCAACAATCATATTAAATTCAAAAAAAAAAACGATATCGGGTTAATCGGGTTGGGTTAGATTCAAATAATAGTAACTCAATACCTACAATCTGAAAATTTTATAACTTAATTAAACATCAAATTACTTTAAATTAAATTATTTTGTATTGAATTGATCGGGTTTTTGAACGGATATAATTTGTATGAAGTGAAATGATGATTTGAGGTTGTTAGAGATAGGCATGCGCCACTGCTACTTTGTCTTGCTGTTTTTTGCTTTTTCACATTAACTTTTTATTAATTTATATTTTTATATAAAAGGCTTTCAATCATTTTTAAACATATCAAACCCCACAAACTCCTCTTCATATTTCAGTTCCCACTTGTATTTTAATCCTTCATCAAATGTCATATATTTAATCCTAATTACGATATATATAACATTTTTACACATATATCACACAATTATATTCATCAAAGCCATTAAAAAACGAAAATGAAAATAATAATTATCGATCGAATCGTATCGGTCTTCTTGTCAAGCCGCCCGATCAAGATATCGAATGCCTTCGGTCTTTACTTGGCTTATTTTTGCCTCTAGTACTCGAAGGTAATATCCCGTCAGCACGTAGAAACGGCGTAAGTTTCCCCAGCTTTTTCGACACGGAACTTATGAACGATTTTCGTGGCAATGGTGGCTTATCAGCCGAATAACGAGTGCCACCAACTGGGCTGTTGACTGCAGATTTATCAGCAGATGATGGTCTTTCCACCTCTTTTAATCGCGTTTTCATCTTCAGAAGCTCGAATTTGAGGTCTTGGTTTTCCTTTTTCAAGCGTGAGAGCTCATCGTCTAATGGTTGGTTGGTGGTTAATGAGTCTAGTTTGGAAGTGGGTTCGACCGCTATTGGACCACCATCCATGGTTTCTCTTAACCGTTGTTGTTCGTAGTAAAGAACTTGAACTACAGTTTGCACAGGAAGCCGGTCGTTTTGGGCCGCGTGAGCACAAGCTCCACGAGATAGTTTTTGACAGTCCATTAAGCTGCAAACTTTCTTTCTTTCCGTATCGCTTAAGGTTGGATGAGCCTGCGAAATTAAATCGCTGAACGTTAAGCACATAGTTCAATCAGCTCCAATTATGAAATATCTATAAACTCGTGTTGGATGTGTAGCCTAATTTGAACTGTAAACGGTTTACAACTTCGTATATAAATCCGATTATGTAACTTCGTGTGTCCAATCATGTAAGAACTTCGATATGACGATCTCATATCTTCCCCTTTGCAGATTTTGGTCATATTTGACAACCATAAGTTAGTTTATTTTTTGAGCTTATTGAAAAATCCTCGTTTAATTAGCTACTTAGCCAATAAGCTAACTTCAAGCTACTTTTGATAGCATTTCAATAAGCTCCAGTTTTTCTGTTAGCTTATATTTGCTTATAGGGCTAGGGCTTTTTCTATCCCTTGTATTATCTTTTGTGTTATCATTTCCTAATGAAACCCTAGCAAACCTTTCTCTGAAATCTACATTTTCCACTTCCTTTTCCAATTACACCCCTCATATTTTTCCAAATAATTTTTTAACATGTCCATTTAAGTCATTTTACATTGTTATCCAACTTATCAACTAGTTTTTACCAAATAGAATTAGTTTATTACCTAATTTATCAGCTAACAGCTAGCTTAATAGCCAACAACTAACTTTTCAATTACTAGCTTATAGCCGGCTTATCATCCAACAACTAGCTTATCAGCTTAATTACTAAAAGTAGATTTTGTGCTACAGTCGTTCCTATCTAATAGAAAATGATCCCATGATGCTGGACTGCTCTTACCTAACAGCCGGCTTATTAGCCAACAACTAGCTTAACAGCTTACAGTTAGCTTATTAAACCAACAACTAGTGATTCAGCTCATTTGTCAAACTTATCCTTTCTGGATCTATCATTACAAATGATCATTGTGTGTGTGATTGTTCATCATAGAAAGAAGAAGACTTACCTTCAAGAAAATATCAATGGCTCTATACATTCCATCTTCTGTTACCTTTGCTTGCTCTGGAATATGTTCAGCAAAATTCATAAATTTCGACACCAATAAGTTACGATCAGAAGCTATTTCCGCAAGATAGCTCTCCATCAACTTCCCAACTTTCTCCATATCACTTTGAGGAGAAGAAACGTACTCTTCATGATCGCAATTGCCTTCCAGTTCGTATTCAAGATAATTCATCAGGGCCCGCTGTATAGTATCGACATCAAACAATGTGTCCCCATCAAAATGATAAGAAGGAATCAGTATATCATCTAAGACCGCCTGCCCAAGTTGTAATCCCATTCGTTTCTCCAAATCTAGCCTACATGCCATTGTTGTTTCAAGATATATGGCAGCTCGAAGCAACATTGAGATAAAGCTGACCGACATTGCATTCCTTTCCCTTGGTAGGAGGCTCACTATTGTTTCTAGAACCATCCGCTTTTCGTGTTCTTGTTCTGGGTTGATCTTTTTCTTGCTGTTTCCAAATATCTCCTGTTTGATGTTGGATATTTATATGAATAAGTGAACAACTTTGTGCTAAAATCAAGTGAATCATATGGGAGTTGTATTGAGAAATTCTCATAAGAACAAAGTGATTCGTGTAGGAAGTCCATGGAAATTCTAATTCAAAATGATGTCATTTGATAACAGGTGACCGTCCATTCGAAGAAAGTTCAAATGAGAACCATAAATATTTTGAGAATCCGGGAACCAACTATTCATTATTATTCATCATGAATATCATGCATTTTGATTATTATTCATTATGAATATCATGCATTTTCATGATGATATCTATTGACATTCTTTATGCATAAAGCGGAAACAGTCGGTTCTCAAAAATATTTACGGTTCTTATTTGAATCTTCCCCTGGTCCAGTCTTTCAGACTGTAACAAAATGAGCCAAGTGTAGTTCCATTCAGAAACTCTGGTTCAAAGAAATAATTCTTCAAATGCACCTAGAACAAGAAGAGATCTTACCAAACCTCGAAGACATTTTTGGGCATAAAGCATTAGAATTGGACCAAGAGCATATTGTTTGAATCCCCTTGAAATCATTGCAAGAAGAACCCTTTGGAAGATATCGATTCTAAGAACAATTAGATCCTCAGCCCACCAATCAACTACAGCTTTCGGGTACGATGATGATGATGATGATGAAGTAGAAGAAATCAAAGTGCTGCTGCCCTCTGTACTACCCGGAGAACAAAATTGGCTTTCTTTGGTCACTATGAATGCTATAGTGTCTATACAACGATTGATCAACTTCACTTTCTCGGCCATCGGTAAGAAATTTGTTGATGATTGCAAAATGGTAACGGAGCCAGCCAAGGTTTTAAGTCCTACTTCATTCAAATAGGCTTCGGATCTTGAAACCAGGTTTCCGATTGCATGATCCTCCGTCATTTCAAGAAACTCTGCCACACATCTCACTATGGCAATGTTTTCAGTGGATAATTCGAAGTTTACTCCATAACAGAACTTGGCTGCAAGTTCGAATCCTTCAGACCCTCCTGGGACATCCGGGATTTCGACTACCAAAAGATCAACATCTTTCAGGTCAGACACCAATTTCCGTATATAACCACATTTTGAGACCAATGGAAACTGCATATGGAATAGAGGAACTAGAGCTTAAACTTCCTAACCATATATCAAAATCACCATTTAGACCAATAGTTATAAGGATATAAATCCGGTATAAAAGATGGGTTATTTAGCTAAATGACAATTTTTTAGGGATTCTCATGTATGGAAGTGGGATTCTTCTGTTAAGCTGAGACATTCTCGATCTCAAACTTGTCAGAAGGTTATGGATTTAATGAAAACCTATCAAAAGGTCCTTTAACCAAAGGAAACTATCAAAGATATATATGCAATAAAAGGGTCAAAAGATCCATTCTTTCACATTAAAAAATGATTTCAAAAGATGCATAATAACAAGAGCACAGTCTCAAAGACGAATCATACCTTGTGTAATGGAAATGAAACACCTCCTGCATTTACTGTAACATCACTTGGGATCTCCTGGGAGAACATCCTGTTAACATCAAAATGAAATCTTTATAGATCTTCCCTTTTGTCCATAATCAATTAAACTATACATTTATACATATCTAGACGAAAAGAGCTTGGGAAAACAAGCATGGAAGAAAACCAAGAATCAAAAAGGAAACAAGATGGAGAAGAATGATAGCAAACCAATCACAAGTCTTCTTCATGGAAGTAATCAATCAATCATAAGCAACTTCTTTCTCTTAACGGGCACATCAATGGCTGTAGGCAGTGCACACCCTCTTGTAGAACAACATCCTCCATGAAAATGATTGAGCAATCACAACCATAGCCATGATCTTTATTGCAAAAAAGAGAGATAGCTTTACAAAAGTACACTCATTTCACTTGTTGATTTTACAAATTCGCAAAGCAAACAGTTAGTTGTTGCTTTCATTTTACCTCCACTCTTTTCTAGCATTAAATGTACTTAAACCTCAAGCTTTGATTCTGTAACATGTCAAACGATCAACGTCTTTAAAGAAATACCCATGATGAATATTAGAATCTGGCCAAAAGGGAGTAAGATGAAGGGACAAAATAGTATCTTTCTACAGTTTTTCAAGGCTGGTATTCTGAATATTTTTGGAGGGATAATTACAAGGAAATAAGTTGGATTTGGCAAGTGTGTGGTGGTGAGTGCAAATGGGGTTGGAGTATTTGGACAAAAGATTAGAAGTTTTCCAATTGACCATTGAGACATTTTATCAACCACATAATCTGCATCTTTTCAGAAATGGGATAAACGCCCTCAAATTGGCCAATCAACTGTAAATTCAATGATTTTATAGATGGTTTATCATCAACGAGATACCCAAAATAACATATTCCAAGATTTTCGCAACCCGATCAACTGGGATTTGGTTAGAATGAGCATTGAAGTTGTATGCCATTAGAATATAAGGTTTAAACCCAGTGAAATAGGGTGTTCAATGAGGTGATTCTTGGTGATTAATGCGTGGAAACAAAAAAGGCTAGTTGAAATCTACCATAATAACAAAAGGATTGTGAGCAACCCCACAAGCCGGTTGTATGTCTTCTCTCGGGGTGTGTGAAATAAATGAAATACAACTGGATTTTTTTGACGGGCTAAATGATGGGATCGTTGATCGTACATACAGTTTATCATACATCATATCAACGGTCATTCTAATTTTAACTTGTCTACTGATTATATATATTATATGATATATAATATATATATATATATATATATATATATAAAAGTGATATCCATATGCATATTAGAATGAGATGTACTAGATTAATCCCCGTATCAAGCGCGATTTATTAGTAAGTTGGAGATTAAAGGTGATCAAGAATCCAAATCCCTCATTAGGCTTTTCTACTTAACTCTTCTTCTCACAAGATCATTTTCCATATATATAATTAGGTTCAAACGAAAATAGTAATCAAATAAAAGAATACAAAAACAGTTGAATCATATCTATTTTATACTAAAATCACATGTGATTCATACGGCCTTGGAGGATGTCACGGTCTAAGTCGTCCGCACACCCTTACGTTGATCGTTAGTATAAAATTACAGGTGATTTACATGTGATTGTGTCGTTTTTATGTTCTCTTATTTAGTTATTGTTCTAAGGATAAAGTTTACTGTGAAAAAACTTGTGAGATATTGGATCAAATGACTTTTTAATCTAAATTGATTTTCCAACCCATATCCACTATCTTCAAGTACCTCCATCTATTTTTATTTTCACTTTACTCACTTTCACTAACATTTAGATACATTTAATCACTTTAAATAAGGACAAGTTTAAACGAGAACCTAAACATTTTACAAGAAGACGAGAAGTTTCAATATCATACATGATTGCAAGCATTGTACATAAACTTAATCATATATGATTAAATACATGTTGCATTGACAACACATAGACGTTTAATCATATATGATTAAACACACCCAAATGATTATAATCATATATGATATTGAAACTTTTCGACTTCTCATAAAAATGTTTAATGTCTCGCATGATCCTTCATCTATATATATGGGGTCATTCAAGGGAGAACTTAGTAATTTGTGGTAACATTGTGATCCGATCTTAGTCACAAATGAAAATATAAATTAAGAAATTAACAGTTTGGTAATTTTGACTTGAAATTTTAGTTAAAGAGCATTTTAGGTATTTTGGAAATCTTATTTTTCCTCTCTCCTCTTTGGCAAACCTTATTCCGACAAACACAATGTGAATACAAGATATATAGCAACAGAAACAACAAAAAACTATAGGTGAGTGGAGTCATGTGAACACAAGAGATACATTGTGATGCCTAAAAAACATCGACACTGTTTAAAAAAGATACATACAAATGATACAATGTGATACTAAAAGTACATACAAGATACACATTGTGATAACCTTTTTAATTTTTAATTTTATCTATATTATATTATAAATTATTTGACAAAAACTCTTAAAAACTATTTTTATGCACAAAGTACTGTTTATTGATGCATATTACTTAAAATTTAAGATTACAAAAACTCTTACATGTGTTATGGTTTTTTTATCGACCAATATAAAATTATAGCTGAAATTATTTAGATTCAAACCATTAATTATTTGGTTATAGGTTCAAACCATTAATGTTTAGGTTTAGGTTTAGTTTCAGATAGTTAATCGTTTTAAGGTTTAACACATTTTTATTCTTAACATATATTCTCTGTCATCTTATTTATGCAATATAATCAAAAGTTTTGAATGTAGCAAAACCTCCAAAAAAATTGGAACGTCTCTGATGAGAAGAGAGCCAATTATAGGACTTTATCTGCTTTTTTTTTAAATTTTAAATTTTCAAATTATTAACCTAGTATTTAAATTATTTTAAAGTAACACCAAGATATAAGAATCTTATGGATTCAAATCAAAGTGATCGAATCGATTTTTTTCAAAGAAACCGCGGTGAGTTACAGATAGTTTCAAAATGAATTTGTTGATTTTGTTTTTATGCAATGCGGTGAATTTTCCCAAGACACTGTCAACTTGCCTGATAAGATATCGTTCAATAACGAGGTTGGCTCGGGTAACTTTTAAGTATTGGTTCTGTTTTTTAAAATCAGTAATAATTATTTTATAAAGAATAAATTATTTATGGTGCATGTCAAATCGTATATGAGATATCAATGATTGATTATGGCAGATGGGCTCCTTCACAGTTATGAATGTATAGTTCACATCAACTAATGTTGACTCATCATCGTTATGCACTAAATTTATATCCAGATAATTATATGATTTAACATATAATTTAATATCACCACTTTTATATATAGAGAGAGATTGATGAGATATTATACAATCCTTTTAATTTGTACAACCAATATAACACATTCTCAATCGTTCATTTTATTTGATTAATATGTGATTTCATAGAAGTTTTGATTGTTTCCTAATATAAAGTATTGATTATAATAAATGAATCATATTCATCTTTCATAAATATTCAAATCATAATAAATGAACTCTTATCATTTCTATAAATATCTCAATTTATTGGGTTGCATTGGTTGTACAAATGCAACAAGATATATTTGAAACAAACTCTCTCTCTCTCTCTCTCTCTCTCTCTATATATATATATATATATATATATATCACTTTCTGTATGAACGGTATATTGTAAGGCCCTGCTAGGCATCCTGATGGTGCAAGAATCGACTATGTTCTGTAACACCTCCAAAGTCTAAGACAACAGGTTGTCTCAATAGCTTCAAATTCAACTTAAAACCATGACGAGAGTTTCTAGCAACCAACGACTTGAGGTTTATAATGAGCTCACGTATCTCATTTGTGATCCATATGAGATGAGTTGTTATATACACGAGTAAAGGAAGGGTATGAAATGTGAGTAGTGTGGATAAGGAGGTATAAAATGTGACTGGTCGTTCAAGTAATTTATTCAACATAACAAACAAATAGTAATTTAGCTTAATATATACAGACAACCAATATAAAACTTACCAAAGGGTCTTTGGCCTAGTGGTATTGTAGCATTTTGCCTTCTAGGAGGTCAGTGGTTCAAACCTCACCATAGGTGAGAAGGGTGTATGAGTTTATTTGTTGCATTTGTCATATATAAATATTATATACTTCAAAAAAAAACCAATATAAAACTTAATGAAAAAACAAACATTGGATCACACTAAAATAGGGGAGGAATGTTGAAATGTGTAATATACTAAGATGGAAGTTCAATCTTCGTGACATTTTCATTTATGCATTTGTTTGACATCTTATGTGTTTATTTGTGAATCAAATGAGGGAGGAATGTTGGTGATTTTAGTGTCATCAACCATTTTGATGTAGTTGTGATTTACTAAGAGATCGATTAAGATGATAAAGCAAACAAAAGTGAGTAAGGGAGTGAGGAATGCACACTCACAAATGTTGTCCATATCACCTTAGATCGTCATAAAGCGGAGTCCTAGGGGCAGCGCCCCTAGCAGGGTTCCACGGGGGGTGAGCCCGTTGGCAGTGTTCCTACTGACCGATCAGCAAGCGAGTCGAGTTCTAAAGACTTAAATTTTTTACCAAAGTCTTATACTCTGAAAAAAAAAAAAAGATAGGTCTGGTCGTGCTAGCCATCGTTGAATGGTCTTCAGTTATCACTGAATCGGTCTTCAGCTATGGCCTATCATTGTTTTGCCTTTAGCTATCGCTGAACATGGTCATCATTGAACGTTGGCCTATTGCTGAATGTGTGGTTCTAAATACTTTAGAATTAAGATTCCATTGTAACTACTCTTCGACCTTATCCATTATCAATTACAACCGATTAACCACCATAACTGCCGACCTCTCTTATAAATACATATAAATACATATATGTGTGTGTGTTAAGGTGAAACGTAATAATGGATATTCATCTTTGGATGCACATGAGGATGAGATCCATCAAGATACACCGGATCAATCCCCGTATCAAGCGCGATTCATAGATAAGTTTGAAATTAAAGATGATCAAGAGTCCCGATTCCTTCTTACTCTTCTCATTCTAACTTTATTTCTCACACGATCTTTCGCTTGCATATAAAATTTGAAACGTATGGTCTCTCTAAAGTGACTCTTTTAAAGAACAATACATATGCAAAAGGGAGACACTTGGGCCATACGCGCACACACACACACAAAGTTCGACAAGTATTTGTTTCTATTTTAATTTCTATCTGGTCATTACGAAGCACGAAACGGAAAGAAAAACGGAAACGAGATAATTTAACGGAATCGAGCCTCGTAATTAACCAGTTATCATCAGAAACAATATATGCCGACTGCTGAGCCTGAGCCTGAGCCTTAGATGAGATGTACAAAAGTACATATTAAATACAGAGGAACCGAAGAATAGCAGAAATTAAGTTTCAGTCATATTCTTCTTCGTTCCTAAGCCATTTCGTTGCCACCCATTTCTGGCCTTTGATTACAGGGCAGCTCCCATGAAGTGATGACTGCATCCATAACCATTACAGAGTAAGTAAACAAAAACAAATAATCGAAGGACCCTTGGCCCAATGGTATCCAGGTTACCAGTAAACTTAATATAAGAATCTAACCGTCTTAGTGTATTTCTACGTTTTTACGGGAACAACTGTTTTGAACTAGGGGTAGTTTAATATAGAGGCAGGTCGGGTAGAGGTCAATGAGGTAAAAATAATAAGAATTGAGAAGGGCGTGCTCCTAATTGGAAACTCATTTAAGGCAAAGTTCTAAATGGCGTGAGGCTTGACATCAGACGGCAAGTTTGAGTTTGTATGCCATATATAGAATTATATATATATATATATATATATATATATACATATATGTTTCCTTATATTATTCAATGAGATGGTGATGTTAACTAGAAATGAACTCACCGGATCAATAGTACCATTTGGGTATAAGGAATAAAACAAAAGCCCATCACCCCTCCTTGGTCTTACTTTCAAACCGATACACTTTCTGAAATCATAATTCGCGTCCGCATTTTCCCCATTCTGCAAACCAAAGCAAAAGAACAGATGCTCCTTTCAGCAAACGAGGATACTTTTGACGGGTGATTTAGGAGAATAACCTTCCGACAGATTTTTTTAAATGCACGACTTTTTGGCAGATTTGAATAACCTTTTTCCAACGGACGAATGTCTCTTCTTAACGGATTATTATTTAGCTCAATGACCTTCTTCAGAAGCTGGTTTTGTAATATTATGCTCCATTTCATTTCTAAGTTTTTACGGAAGCTGACCAGGGGCAGGTCAGATGAAGGTCATTGAGTGAAAAAGAATTTAGAAGGTCGTGGTCCTGTTTGAAAACTCACTTAAGGTCATTCATCCAATGGATCCCTTATGAACATAAGAATGCCTCAAAATATGTTAGAAGGTCATGCACTTTAAAAGAATCTGTCAAAAAGATCATTCTTCTAAAGAACCCAACAATTGACGGGTAGCAGGAAAAAGCGAGGGATACAAAGTTCTAGAACTTACCTCAAATGGAAACATGGTTTCTCCACCTTCTTCAACATCGGATAAATATAGCAAGAAAGAAGCAATCTGTAAGCAAGTCTTCTTTGAGATTAGAATTATTAACGACAATCTACAATTAATGACCATTAGAGCATAAATTTGCATACAAAGAAGATTATCAGAAACTGCTAAAGAAGATGATGATCCTAAATAATGCTAGTTTCAGCAATGCTACTGTAAAGATTGAGCAAGAATCAGCAACTAGTGTTGAAGATTGAACTCGAACACTGGTCATAGTATTATAACCATCTATGATTATGTGAACTAGAACAACAATGAGAGATAAAAAGACAAAAAGAAACATTACGAGCCATTCCATTTTGCATACAGTCGGCTTCAACCAGTCCCAAGAAGTTACTGCATGAACCAACTGACACTGGTTATGCAAAAAAAACTCCATTAGGACCTATGCTTTCAGAATTTTTCCTTAGTCCTCACCCCATTTCAAATACTTAATCCCCTAATTTCTATATGTTTACTTTTACCAATTTACACTCCCTTCAGTTTAGTTTATAGCTTTATTCAACTGCTATTAAAAACTTATTGAGGTATTTTATAAATTAAATGAAAAATGAAAATTGTATTTTATATTGATGTCATGACTTTAATAATAGAAAGTCTAACAAAATTGAAGAAAGGACAGGGACCGGTTAAGTCTGGCGATCATGGCCAGTCCTTGTGCCTAGATAAAAAGCCTGGTTGGACCGGTTAAAAATTGCCTGGAATCAGCCAAGGCCCGCTGGGTAGATGGAGTGCTGGTCCTGCTCCTGGTCCTTGGGGCTGGGTTAAAATGAAAACCTCTATATGTAAGTCTATAAATCTAAGTTCTATTGAAACTAATAGAATCATATTTTCTGACCATCATTTAGTAAGAAGATTAAAGAGGTAGTGTCTGTTTTTTGAACTTTATGAATTGTTGTTTGAGTATGAATTGTTGTTTGAGTATGGCATGGTATGGTATGGTTTGGTTTGATTTACTAGTCAAAGTAGCTGTTCATACTGCAAGTATGATAACTTACAAATAAGCATTTTCATATACCTAAAAAATATATTTTCTCCGAGAGTTGGCATAAAGGGAGGTCGTGTAAGAAAATTTGTCCAAGTAATAAATGTTAGTTTTTCCACTTAGTGAATCATATATGGAGAATACCCTCAACTGGATTTTTGTCAGTAGGTATGATCATTGCTCTACTAAAGATATTAGTAAATACAATTTCAAATTAAGAGCTCAAGGGAATTTTAACATAATGGCATCTGTGTTGTACGGTCCTTATAACTTCAGTAATTTTTCCCGGGAAATGAATAATGTACTTGTTAATAGAAGATAAATACACGATTTAGAATAGCCGCTTATTCTCTGAGGCAGAGGACAGGTCTGCGTACATCTCACTCCCCCTCGGCAGGTGCAAAGACCCTACTTTCGAGTGGGATAATACCGAGTTCTTTTTATTAGTTTTATTTATTTTCTTTTTCATATTTGAATGAGATAAAACCGAGAACATATTTCCTTATTATTTGAATTATTAAAAGGCTTTGACAATGATCTTCCTAAAAGCCACTGCTTAGTTGTGACCTTTCTAAAAGTCCCTGCTATTAATAGAAATGCTTTTATCAGCCTTGAATTTTCTCTTGACTTGCAACCTTTTAATAATGTACATTCATACCTATAGATATAAACATCATTTTCAATCGCAAATATAATCATTTATAGTCTGCCTAAACCAATCTTTTTTTTATTTCTTTCAACTTATTTTCGCATTTTTGCAGGTGATACAGGAGTATTTTTCCAACAGAACCATCAGTTGCTACAATTCAACAATCACTGCTCAAATGATCAACAAATAAGAAATAGAGGCCGTTGAATGTAATATGCATCCGCAAACATTAGAGCAACTAATTAATGATGCATAAAGACAGTTTATTAACTTGTATCTATGTATAAAAGGCATGCCGAAACAAGGTTTAGTAAGTCACGTACCCGTTGGCTCTTCTGTGGACCATATTCAGTAGGGTTGAAAGCATCATAATGTGAATTATACCTCTGTCCAATTTCATATCGTAGAACGTTGAACGCCTGAAAAATAGCCACGTTGTTGTATCAAACAGCTGGTAATGACTAATGAGCGATACAATGAACACATAGCCAATGGCAACTGATCCACTTAACACGGAAATAGTAACACAAAAGAAATCCTACTGAGATAACTATATTAGTTTACAAGATAATTTGGTCAAAAATATGACAAAATTTGCATCCAACTTCAAGGATTGTCTATATAAATTGGATTTAAGACCTACACGTATGGCATTCGTGAAGAAGTGAAACCGTAGGACAGTATGTTTCATTATAATTTTTGTCTGTATGTGTACACCAATAACAATTTTCATACAAATTCAGGAAAAATTCATATATTATATCAAGTTCTCAACTTACGAATCTACTTCTAAACCTTAAGGGTTGGACAAATGAGGTCCCACGTGATTCCCAATGAGCTTCCTGAGCTATCCAAGGAAAGAGAAGAAACACAAGTAGTAAAAAGATGTCCATATGAAAACCTGTGCTATGTTGTACATACCATTCTAAGGATCTGTTCGTTAGCAGCTTAATGAGCTTAACGGAATTCACAGCTTATTCAGTCAGCTATGCATGACTGTTTGGTAGTAGCTTAATGATATAGAAAGTGGTTGATTCAGTAAGCTTCTAGAGGGGAGCTTTATGCAGAAAGTCTAGTTTTTTTTCCAAACATGCCCCTCCCAATTAAAAAGCACGCAACTTTCATCTACGAAAAAACCCTCCCAAACAAAAACCTTCCTAGTCCATACAGACAGATTAATCCACACAGACAACTTTATCCATACAGAACTCAATGGAAAAGGAACCAAACAGCCCCAAAGATGTTGGATGACTCAAGCAACTTATGCAGAAAAAACTATAAAGCCAAGGCATGATAATAGCATATAGATAATTCACCTGCAAGTATATCACATGCAAGTTTGTACATGTACTTATCATTGCAAATGTTGCATCTCTATTAAAAGAAGACGACAGATGCCTATTTATGCTACTTTATGTTTATGAAAAAACCATAAAAGTGTTCTCATTCCGTCTTCAAAAGAACTACATCAAGAACATGTTGACTTGTTAATTAACATCTCTTAATCATGGTCCCTGAAATGTTAATAAAATTGATGAGTTTTAAACAGATTATAGTGAACTTGCAAGTTGTTAATTTTGAAACCAAGATATAACCACGGAATCATAAAACTAGTCCGAGAGTTGCTTTACCAAATAGATTTAACTGGAGACGGTGATGAAACAATACCTCTCCGTTACTTCTTGGGATCATTGTAGCCCTTTCAATTTTCTTCTCGATGAGAGCCAAGATCCCTGTTTTGTCTTCAGATGAGCTTATGAACATGCCAGAACTGGTTCATTTCAAAATAAGAAATAACGGAGATGAATGTATATGGCATCTACAGTATCATCTCTCAATGCCTTGCCAATTTAGCTATTATCAGACAATTTTTAAACTCTCTTCCATTATTTGCCAAAATCTGAATTCTACTTTGAAAATTAGAAAACTTTTTAAGTTGGATTTATGGAACACCCATCTGAAAATACAACACACTTTGTTTCAGATTATCTTAAAACCTTGATTTTCAAGATTATCTTAAAACCTTGATTTTCAAGATTATCTTAAAACCTTGATTTTCAAGATTATCTTTAAACCTTGATTTTCAACTTTAAGGATGAAAACCAAGAAACTTCTCATAAGATTTGTGAAAACAGAAAAAGAGGACCTAACTAATAAGGGTTAGTTTGTTAGCAGCTTAATTGGACTCGCAGCTTATTCGGTCAGCCATACATGACTATTTGATAGTGGCTTAATAATATAGAAAGTGACTTATTCAGTAAGCTTCCAAGGGGAAGCTTTATGCAGAAAGCCAAGTTTTTTCCAACCCTGCCCCACTGATTAAAAAATATTCTCGTTTCATCTATGAAAAACTCTTCCAAACAAAAACCTTCGTCTCAATCTCTATAGATAGATTAATCCACAGAGACAGCTTTATCCACACAGAATTTAATGTAAATCCAACCGAACATCCCCTAAACTGAACCCTAAAAAGGGTACACTCTGCTTGACATTTGTGCGTGTAGAAAAACCTTCACTACATATGTACCTTGTTCTAATTCCCTTGGTGTTCTCAGCAGTTTCTCCTTTGCGTAAAGCCAAGGTCGAAGGTGCAAGTTTAACCTTGGCCATCTTGATAATACTTTCACATTGTTTTGCCGTTGCAAAACCTGGAAAGTACAGAGCTCGAGGTCTCCAACTCAAAATCTAATAAGAATTATGAATCATGCAAGAAACCAGTTAGCAAACAGCAGATTTACGAACTCAGAAACAAAACCAAACCTAAAAATCAGAGTTCACAATAACGAAAACTTGCATCAATTAGGCCAATTCCATGATCCATCTAAGAAGTCATCACCTGAAAGGGAATGGTGGTAAAGGAGTCATCACCGGAATCCCCTCGAGGCAACGGATCATATTCTTCCTCCTTAAGCACCCTAGGTCTTGGATGTAAACTAGATTCAGTTTCAACCTGCCATGATTTAGTCGCGATAACCAAAACGATCAATCGATAAGCAAATTTATACTCGATACAGACAGTAGAGAACTACAGGATCAATCGAACACAGTTCGAAACGTAAAATCAAAGCAGACGAGTATGGAAAGAAGAACCTGTTGAGATAATAAAGAAGAACCGAAGAATCCCAAGAAGAAGAAGAAGATGCATAAGAGTAAAACAGCAGGTAGACCAAGACTAGACCACCCGCCAAATACTCCTCCTCCTCCGATTTTACCTCTGCTTTTCATCTTCGCAGGCTATCAGATTGTCTCCGACGAATCAAAGTCACAAGTGTACAGTGATTACTATGATTGACGATGAATAATCACGGGAAGATGCGATCGAATCATCAAATGTAGTGATTAGAAATTGACTTGCTACGCGGCGGGAATTGTTGCTATAATTGGAGAAAATGTTGAAATGAATTATATGAATGGACCCTGGATTTTAGCCGTGAAGAAGAAATCGGCATGGATGCTTAGATGGACGGTCCGAAACGAAGTAGAATCCGACCCGGAACAACAATATCCCAAAATTAGGGGTGTACTTGGTCCGGTTTGGACGGTTTAACCCCTCAAACCACAAACCAAACCGTAATGGCGGTTTATAAAATTTTCAAACCGAGCGGTTTGACATCAAGTGCCCATACCGGTCAAACCAGACCACGAAAAGGCGGTCTGGTCTGACCGGTTTAGACGGTTTAGTCATTTAATGGACTTTAAATATTAAACTTAAAAAACATATGTAATTTAGAATTTTAGATTAAATATCCATTTTAACAAAACAAAATATCTATACAAATATGTAATAATTAAGCAGCAATTGAGTACAAAGTCGAAGCAATCCAAACTACAAACAAATAAATATATAACATATTAGAAAACAAACAAATTAACAATGTGAATATTGAGTAACAAAATTCACGACTTCACAACCTTCAATGGTTCAATTCTTGAGTTCTTGATCAAACAAAATAGAAGCCAAATCTAAGTTGGTTGAATAACTTGGTTGATGTTTTGATGATGTGCGCCGAAATCAAACTATGGATTAGAAAGATCAATAGATTGACGGAGTTCTTGAGGGATTTCAAAATTTGGAGATTGTCAATATCAAATGTATCGATATGTTCAATGGTTTAATGGCTTTAGTCGTCGATTTTGATTATGTTAGATGTTAGRCTTAGGGATATATTTGGGTCATAGCCAATAAGTTAAAAAAGTTGGGCTTGCTAATATTAAAATAGATAAATAAATATATATATATATATATATATATATGTGTGTGTGTGTGTGTGTGTGTGTGTGTATTTGGCGGTCAGTTTGGTTCAAACCGCCCAAAAAAGGTTCCA